CTCCATCGCATCAGGAAAGAATGGCTCGGGAACTTCCGACACTTACACCGTTTCCATCTCGGTATCGCGACTGATACCTCCAAAACATCTAACAATGGGAGAGGAATGGTTTTTGAGGGAAAGAAGTGCAATAGACAAAATGCTAATTTGAAAAGTTTATAGTTTACTGGAATTACTTCTGGTCATGCTCTAGGCGTGATTATTAATAGCAAAGAGAAATTGACTAAGTGTCTCTCTCTCCTTAAAACAGTGGAACTCATCGCTTCTGCAAGAGTTCATATCTGATAAATTGAGAGATTATCCATCCTCCTGCGAGTGAAGGAGAGAAACTAGGCTAATAATTAAATATTACTTTTCTGACCCCAGCTTGGAACAGTCTCAAAAGATGAAAAAAATATTTAAATGAATGAATTTGTTGCCTTTCCCATTCCTGTTCCAATTTAAACCTAGCTTACTATCGGATATTGAATTGGGCGAAGGAGCGGGACTAACCAAATTATTACGATAATGTTATGTTGGATTGGGTTTTTTTCTTTGTTTCTTCTCGTGTTTAGGAGTGGAAATCCAGGATGCTAGGAGGAGTTATCACGAATTGTTAATGGCTTCTGTTTCCGGCCATAAATGGGGAATGCACTTACAAAGGGGTATATTGTGGCACATGCCTTTTTCTGTGAAGAGCAGCGAAACGCGACGAGAAAATACCTTACATTTCTATATGTATGTATTCGGGTTTCTGGAGGTAACCGATACTAACGATGAAGGCATGACCAAACTTCTTTTTATAGGAAGTACTTATCATCCACTGAGCTACATTATGACAATCAATCGTCAGAGAACTACATGCCCACAAAGTTTTAGCCTAGTACGTTTGCCATTTTCGCTGCTGAAAAAAAAGTTTGCAAATGCGGACCCACCCAAAAGCTATGCCCGGAGGGGATGCACCATGAAAGCTTAATACTCCCTCAAATCAATAATAATAATATCATGTCACTTACGCATGAGGCAAGTTTCACCTTTCCGTTTCTGTCCAATTCCCCACGACAAAATATTTTTTTCAACATCGCCCCTCGAAAAAAATTTCCCAAGGATAAATGGAGAGTTAATGTTTTCCAATTATTTTCAATGGAATCACCTTGAAGAACTATCCTCCATCTATCGTTCGAGCCGGAGTTCTCTGGAGATCCTTTGCTTCCTTCCTGAGATTGGGTTATCACCAATAACGGATTTGTTTAAGAACTTGAGTACTTCCGCCCTGGTTAATGCGGAGAAAGATCGGTTACATTGTGGAAAGTATCGAGGACTAATTCCATCTATATCAGGAATTGACCCGTTTTAGTGACTACTTTGGCGCCATCTATCTTCGGTTGTGCGATCCTTTTTTCTTTATTGGCCGTTACGACTGTCGCATCTACTCTGGAATACGTAATAGTCGGGGGATGGGGGAAGAGTTCGGATGACTAGGAGGACGAAGAGAAAATGATGGAGGGGGTGAGAACCGAGTCCAGGGCCTCCAGATTGCCGGTCGCGTGCGCTACCACTACACCACCGAACCCCTGACTTTCAGTCATAATGCTCCATGAGTTCCCTTATATAACAAACGGAGAGAGAGGCATTCTACTCACACCTTCCGCTCTCTACTTGGAAGGATATGGATTTTTCCGCAGAGACGTGTAAAAAGTCCCCACGTATATACACTTGGAGTCCTCTTTCATCTCTGGAGGAAGGATGACTTCCTCCCCGGTATGATATCAGCGCTCGTATATTTATTGGGATTTCGGGTGCATGGTAGAGATCTTGGCAGGGCATGCTTCCGTATTCGGTAGGACTGCTAAAATGATCCCTTAGTACCTACTCCTTCACTCCGCCAATGCGCCCCGCAGGCCTGCTTGAAACTCTACGAATCTCTCCGATCGCCAATCGCGGAATTTTGCTGAACTATTCTCAATCACTTTTTTCTGCCATTAGCTTAAACTGAAGTATTATACCCATGTTCCCTCTCCTATTTCATCATGGACGCTAAAAATCCCAGGATATCCGGCAGCAGGGGGGGGAGGCATCACGGTGAGCGATGCCACTGTTCCCTTGCGATTATACTGGCACCTTTCGTTTCCTCATTCTTCCTAGTGATGGCGAGACGAGAGCCAATCTATGATTTTGCATGAAAGCTACATCCCCTCTCATTCCTGTGGCCGATTTTGAAATTTAATGTTGAAAAGGCACTTCCTCGGACGTTGAGACCTTTTATTTGATCTGAAATCTAGCAGTTCTTTCAAGGAAATAAAATTCCTGCAATATAAGGGAGGTCGCTCGGAACTCGCTTTTGTACTTGTCTGAATTCCATATGCTACTGGAAGGTTCTGCGGAAGCTTCCATCCTGTACTCGATATTTTCCCACGTACGAGCAAAAGGACGTTTCAATAAATTCATTTGTTGAGAGACGCAATCCAGCTCCAGGAGACTACAGGCAATTCTTGTGCAATGCATGGTGTTCCCCTTATCGGATGAGTAAAAACTGGCAGAATCTGTAGATCGGGAGGCTAGGGCGGAGAGTGAAAGACGTTAATTAGACACTTTCTTCGGTTTCCATTCAAACTTCTCTTCTTCACATCCTTCCAGGGATTTGGAAGAATGAGCCTACCGCTTCTGAACTGCGAGGTCTGATATACTCGTATATTAGATCGAATATCCTGCCCCTCCCCTTACAAATGAATCCAGAGATATGAAAATTGTAAATGAAATCAATGCTCTTCAGAATGTTAGGAATATTTAACTGCATGCAAATGTTGTTCCATTGCTATCAGGGGTATTACTATAATTGGGCATCTCCATGGTCATCCAATAACTTTCTAATGAGAATGGGAATCCAGAAACCAAGAAAATTCAATGGGTCTTAAAGAAATAGACAACCGATGGACATGCCCAAGGATTATCCTTTAACGAAACATTTAGCCAGCCACTAGATGTCCAAGGAGAATATCCAATAGATGTCCGAGTGTCCTTGACTCGATGTCCAATGCATTTATTTTCATTGAAAATCGCTCCTTGAGAAATGAAATCCTGGTAATTTGACTCTACCCTTACCTTTCACATCGCCCATCACCAGCGTTTCTCCCCATCTCCCATCATTCTTCTGTTTTCAGACAGCCAATTACCATCTTTTATTTAATTCAAACGACCATCTTTGTGCAACATTTGTGTTTTATTCACCCATCCAGCCAACCCTGCAGTTTCTCCTTTTACTTATGAAAGAAGATTTTCATTCATTAAGTTTCTTCGCGGATAGATGCTTTGTCCGTGGTCGAACGAATCCTGAATCTCTTGTGGAATTTGCATTTTTTCCAACTCAGTTACGACTTTTAAACCGTTCAATTTATAGTAGGGAACGATGCAAAGTTACATATTATACCTGCAGCCAATGTTAGTTCAAAAACACAAGAATGAAAAATAAGCTGTTCATTTGACAGGGTGCAATAATCATGTAAAGGCCTAGCCAACACATGCTTGCACCACTTATAGCCCACTGTTGATGAATTCCTCTCTCCAATCCCTCTTCTTGCTCTCTCGGGATAGAACATTCCCGAACCATTCCTTCCTTCAACATTGAGCGATAGGGTATGCGTCATCTTGGTACTGGAAAACGACCTTTTTCCTCATCCTGTATTGAGCGATTTGCACACATTTAGTTAATCCAATATCTGACAGTGATCCCGTTTGCATTCGTTTCCTCTATATGTTTCTACTCACCGGAGTGCGCCGTCCTTGGATGCCTTCCCGACACGTCTGAACCCTTCTTATGTTTGACATGTCGCCGTCCGATTCAAAATAAACCCAGACTTGTATTACCAAGGACCAATTGTGCTGTGACTCCCACCACCAGTAGGGAGAAAAAACGCATGGAACCGTAATAGTAATTTCAGCCAATGCAACCAAAGTGATGAGAAAGTGGTGGCGCTTTTGCCTATGATATTATTATTAAGTTTCTTCATTAAGCATTGATGAGGGAAAATATGATTATAATACTTTCAAGTTCCAACGAATCGCATATTTCAGTTAATTTTTTTTCATCTTGGGGATCTTGAGGATTTAATTATGAAATATAACTGAATTTTGATGGGCCATAACATTTTGCCTACAGTCCTATTTTGAAAAGCCTTATTTGGCGAAAAATGTCACGTTTATTGGTATTTTCCAGATACATTTCACATTCTGAATTGAAAATTTTCATTTCAATATTGCAGAAAGCTTAAAATAGCGTATAATCCTTGCCTCCATCCTGGAAAGACAATGAATTTCATACTCGGGTTTTTAGCATGCCTATGTCCAAAAACAGCCAAATTTTAGTGTTCTCCTTTGTAGGCCAGAAGTAGGGGTACGGATGCCTTGAAAAATTTAGAAACTCAGGAAGCTCACTGTTCCTTGTTGACGAAGTTGCCGAGTACTAAGAGTTTCCCTTTTCCTGAGAATTTCAAGTTTTCTCAATGATTCATGTGAGAGATATGGCCCTTCGAAATAGATCAGACACTGGGTAATGAATCCCACTATATTGAGGCCCTCGCATCATGACATTTCCTTCTCCTCGCAAGGTCAAAGAAATCGGTATTAGAGCTCTTGAACACGAATTCGAATTGTACTACATCAGTGCTGGACTCATCATTCTTAAAAGATAGAATATAATATTTTCATAACTACCCGTGATTAACTTGACAAAAAAGGAAGCGTACAAGTGGTAGCACATAATAATCCTTCGGTAGCGCGTAATAATTCAAACCAGTGAAGGACACTGAGTCTATGGGTCCAAAATCCATTTGAGTTCGACAATTTTTCACTTGACACACGTGGACAGGACGATTCTGATGCATGAGTGTCGAAGTCCGAACAATGTGTCTGGCTGTAGCGAAAAAAGGGCATAGAAGCAGTGGCGGATTATAATATCCTACGCGATTTTACAGTAATTCTTCATACTCTTCATCCGATGAATGTTCTTAAAACGATTTCCAGTCCGTCTCCGTCCGAATTCGCTAGATCCTGGAAGGAAAAATTCGTTACAGGCACTCCTTGATGTCTTCACAGTTCTTCTTGCAGAGTAGGGCGATGAGTCCGCTTGTGTCCATGCCTTGGTTACACAGGGCTTCGTGGAGAGCCCGAAACGTGGAGGGTCTGTCCTTTGGTGAGGACTTCTTCCACTCTCTCAGAAGTAGATACGTCGTCCTCATCGGACGTTCGCTGTTGTGGCTCCTGGTTTTCGACTTGATTCGGTCGATCGCGTCCGAACCGAGTCCCAGTTCTCTCCCGAGGGATTCCCATTCATGCCACGATTCTTTCAGTTTCGGTGCGATCCGTCTAAGGTCCTCGTCAGAGGGAATTCTGGGTAGATTATTAAAAAATAATTGGGGAAAGGGAATGTGCACATACGAGTCAGATTTGCAAGCAAGATGACTCACGAGTCCAAGAGGACATTTCCAATGTGGGGTTTCCCTTTATAAATACTGCGCTCTGTTGGTTAAGGGAGGAAATTCAACAAAACTAGGTGTTCGTTGTGTTACAAATCATAATTGATCCTTCATCATCGAAATATGCTCACCTTGTGATCGTAGTTCCTCAGTTACATCACCTTGTTTGGCCTGTGTGAGTGCCTCGAGGAGCTTCTCAAAACCCCTCGGGTCAATCTTCGTCAGTAGTTTCGCCCATAACACAGTCCTCTTCTCCTTCCTCTCCCGTGGCGTCATGATCTCGTCGAGATCCCCCTGCGATAACACTCCTGACTTGAGCAGTTCGGTCGACACGACCTCAACGTCCAGCCGGTCCTTCAAGATGCCTTCGTTTGCCAGCAGGAGGTCCCGGCGGGAACTCGGATTTCCACGACTTGCTATCAATGCGAAGGAAATGAATTGAACGGCATAGGAATAAGTCCTCCTGGAATGGAAAAGAAACATATAACGAACCAGAGCCATTCTCCCAACGTTCTACAATGTCCTCCCTTTCCATCGCTTCAAGAATTTTGATTAGCTTCTCCTCGGTTGAAGTCGGGTTTTTCCGGAGGAGAATGGTAAATACGGCATCCATTTTCTCTGAATAGTTTCTCTTACTCCTAATATCATCTTCTTCCCAATGCGAAATTAGGTCATTTTCACCGAGATTATAGAGGAAGTCGCCCATGTCGATGATGGTTCCTTTCGCAGATAGTATACTTCTGAGACGTTTAATGGGATTCGTCATGTTCTCAGTAAGACTGAAATGGAAAATGTACCTTGAGTTAGTTCCATATAAAGAAGAAGAAACGTTGAAAACCCTCAAATCAAGTGCATTCTTAGTTCATAATTCAACTTGATTCAACCTGATGCATGCATAAATCTGTTGATTGTAGCAGGATGCATGCCTCTTAATAGCCAAACACTAACAACTTGAAATTGCCTCGAAATATTCTGTCTTGGGTTAGCTTCGCAGTTAAATTCCCAACAAGTATCTGATAGAGTAGCAGCTTACAGGAAAGAGAGATAATGAAAATGGCATCTTCAATGACTCCGCATTCTTCCCTTATTCATCGGGTCTACTAAATGTTTTCTCTGCATTTCTTGGTCTGGCGACCTCGAGACTTTCCTCTATTACCTCACACATTTTTGCGCATTTTCCTACCACCTTTTATCAGTAAAAATCTTCTAATTTGCTATATCTGGGTGTTAGTATTAGGTCGTATTAAAATTTCACTGTTCGGCAAGTTTTCCCAAAATATTAATCCAACACACTTGAAACTCTAACCCCTGGTCGATCTTTAGTGGCGATGTTGTGTGTTGGGTGGGATGGTATAATATAATTGGCTTGATCGTATGCATTGAACATCCAAGTACCTATATTTTCATTTCGGGATGCCTATGCGAGCGTCAACAACTTCAAACGGTAATTTTATTTAATATTGGAAACGTTTATCTAAAGATATGGTTTGAAAGTGCAGCTAAAAGTATTTATGCCCATTAGATAAAAAAAAAAAAAAAATAATTATTGGCGTCTAGTTTGTGCTGTTCATGAAGATAACTTGTTTCCCTGTATGTTGAGCGGGGAAATTATATTGACAGAGCCGTTTCTTTCCTGCAAGGATTTACGCATACTGTAATAAGGTGATAATGTTGTCAACACTTGTTGAACAGGATTATGTCAAAATTGACAGATTCCTTCAGGCCATTTGAACGATAACGCAGTCATCGTCACCATCGTATTTTGGTCATTAAATGTAATACGAGTGCTCACGGAAAAGAACTACGGTGTCATGATACCGACTGAATATAGATAGATAATACCGACTCACCGAGAAATGATGAGACAGATAAGACAGGAATGACACTTATCTAGCCTCGTGTATTGGTGACTTTCAGTCACTGCTGGGCACATGAGGAGGAAGTTACATGTGGAGATAGGGAGGTGGGAGAAGTAACACTGGTGACATTCCACCCTGTCCGAAGCTAGGTCCTGTTCATGAGGATTAGGTTCTGGTCCAAAACGGTTCATGGTTGATGATTCCTTTATCTCAGTTATTGAATTTTTAGATATTAATCTCACGACTGAATTTCTTTTACTCGCGGGTTTCGAAAGTCAGAAAAATATTTTGATCGTTACCCGTGCCTGTTCGTGGATCATCAATTAAGTTGAGTTCATATCTTTAAGTTGAGTTCATAGTTCTTTGGTATCGTGTGACAGAAAAAGTGAAAAAAACATACATCAGTTTCACACACGGAAATACTGAACTTAGACATGACTCTCGCCATTTCTCTGAGTGAAATTCAATCTCACCTGCCCTTGCCGTGTGTCGAATCGTGACGTCCACGGCCCGAACTTGACTGTCGAGGACTTGCAGCCATCATCGTCCCATTCGACGGGCCCTTCCATTCTGCAGGATCAGTGACAAGCATGGATAATCCGTGAAAAGCATGGATATTGCTATCCGAGGAAATCGGTGAGGTATTGATCCTCTCAGAGGTCCATTACCATGAGCATTTCGGCGGTTATGTTCTTGTGACACCGTTGTCACAAGTGAGACCTTAGTCGGCTGGAACCTCTTTCCATCTGGAACTTTGTAGGGCGCGTGGTTTCTTCCTTTCTCTCTACCTGCAGTCCTGCGAAATTCCATTCGGAATCGGAGAGAGTCAACTGGTTCTTGAGAAATAGTCTGCCTTTTTCCGCGCGGCATGGGGGAGATACCTGGAAGCTCTCCTTTGTTCTAAGTTATTTGTTGTGCATGTTGCAAATTCAGTTGGATCGGAAAAATTCGATTTTGTGGTCTTTTGCAAGTTTGATCTTTTTTCAAGATTGGTTACCTTTGGGAGTTGGGGTTGGCAGGACAATCAAGATGATGTGGCTGTTCTTTCGAATTTCAATACTCAGGTTCATAATGTACTCCATGTACGATATGTTCCGGAAATGTTAAAGCAAAGGAAATATCGTCGATCCACATAACAAGTACGTCATCAAATTACTGTAATAGGATTGAAAGGATTGAAACCGTGATTCACCTTCGGCGCTTTTCCCGAGGAAGGGACATCATGATCACTCACATCATTTGCCGATGGTCACTTTTGGAGGAAGGCTGAACGACGAATGATGCGAGGGCCTGCTGTCGAATCTTCGAGGGCTGTATATTTTCCGGTCCGACCCAATGCGACGCGAGGCTGTGATCGTATTACGACACTTGGGGGCAAATATCGATAGGCTCCTGACGAATCGTAGCTTTCATTCCTGAACGTCGCTCTCGAGCGCCAAGTAATATTGCCTGGAGTATCGAAGATTAGAGGCTTAAGGTGATCGACAGCACGTTCCTTTGCGATCAGCCCTCTGTCGCGAAGGGAAGACTCATTTTATAATCCCTCTACAAAAAAAACCAGTTTTATAGATCTCCATCATCTGAAAATTTTCTCTATGAAATCCGTTTGCTAAACTATAAACACTTTAAAGGGGCCATGGAGGCAGGGGGAGAGGTGGCATATTGGGTGGGAAGGTGGGAGATTGGGCGGACTATTTGGCAAGGAAAGAAGAGATAGACATCCACCTGTCCTCAATGGACATCCTCTCGCAGCAGTTCAATATGCAGACATGCATTCGAGGTTGAAATGAAGCTTCGAGGCCAACGACAATAAAGTTACTAATATCCCATCCACACTTCTGAACCTGTCAAATTCCTCTTTAAGCCCAATAATATAATCTAAAATTCATCAAATCAAATCAAATATGAGAAAATGAAGAAAGGATTGGACTGCGAATAACCCTTTCGACTTTGGCAAAAGAATGCTGGCTAGAAATAGAACTTTCTGAAAAACGAAATGCTCTTGACAGAGGAATCGTTTCGCCAGCTTGAAGATGACGCGGAATAGGATTTGATATAGAGCACGGTCCGTTATCGAACGACACTTTACATTCAAGGATTCCCTTCAAGTGCATGATACGGTACTGGAAATAATTCGAGTCCGCGAACTAACTTGGAGTTTTGACTCGTCGCCCTTGGAAAGAACCTGTTGCTTCGTTTTCTGCTAACGTGTAGCACATTTCTTGCCCGCTTCGCCGGTGAATTCCAGCAATAAAGGGCACATTTGGCGGGAGATTCACATTTGAATGGATAGACCAGATAAATGTAGATCATCCTCGAGTATCTGCTCGATCAACGATGAAAGTCTGAGCGCTGTAAGAGCGAATGAAGATCACCTTTCGAGAAGAGTTGCCGTAAAACATCAATAAATGTAGTGCTTTACTTGCGTTATTGTATGGGGGATGATAATACTTTATCATAATAAAATTGCAACCGTTTTCGGATTTTGTTTCCCATCGTTACCTACGAAAACATATATACAAATCGACAAGCTTGCTTGTCATTCCAGTTTTTTTGGCAATTTCGTACATCAGGAGAATACGCCTCGGCATTTTCTTTTATATCCATCTCACTGAATTGTCATATATATTTAGGATTATCGTGGCGTAATTTGAGATAACAGCCGCCAAGACGCCCTCCTCCCTTAGAAATTGCGTCAGTAAAGCATGCATATATACAGACATCCTTGATTTTTATTGCACACTTCTCTGGACGAAGTTGCTCGGGAAAAGGGAAAAAAAAACTTGAAGGCACACGGTTTTAAGGCGCGTTCCTACCAGGCGCGCGACTGAAGGTCGTCATGTTCCTATCGCTGCCTATCTATTCAACGTCATTTTCATAGTTTTAATCTCAAGGGAACCTCAAGTTTACACGTAAGAAACATGGAGTCTTCTCAGGAAAGAAAATGGGAGAATGAAGCGGAGAGAGGGACTTGCGGAAATGGAGAGGAGGGAATTTGGGGCATTGGGAAAGGGAGGAGGGCGCTCAATAAAGCATCGGTGTTACACCTACACTTGGATGGTTGGACCACCGATTACATCTGATGGAAACAAGACAGTTTTTCGAGTGGAAAAGGAAACGAAGGTAACTAGTGTAGTAATTATTAAGATGTGGAAAAGGTATGGACGCCTTGCACAAGTTAAACTCAGACCAGGAAATTCATTGGCGTTGACATGCTGTATTGCTGACGCACTTCCTTTCGACATGTGAGTCACATCTCTGAACGATGTGTTCAAGTGCCTCGTTCGCAATGGTCACCTAACCATATGCCTCCAATGCATGGTTGGCATATCGCTTTATCGGGGAGAAGCTCGATTGCATTAATTATTTATGTAATACCAGCATGTACCTGGTCGAATGATCGAACTTGTAATTACTTGACCCACAGGTCTGAGGGCTCTGTTCTTTTTCTGCCAAGGAAACCGAACCATCGCATCCCCTCTCCTCAGTCAACTATTTTCCCTCTTGAATTTGGGAACTTTCTTATATCCTTGGAACTGGGAACCAGTTCCTCCTTTCCTCCAATACAGTTTCTATTGTACTAATGACGGCTTCTCTTCCCTTCAGGGATTTCGGCGGAAGGAGCTCCATTGGTAGTCTATTTTGAGAGAAATATGCAAATAAACAAGGAAATTCGAGGTCGACAGCATCTCCACCCTGTTGCGCGGTAACAGGCTAACATCCTCAAAATTCTTCGAAGCACAACATTTCACGGGAGAATAACATGAACAGGGCTATCTCAAGTGAATAAAGAATCCTCCTCCTGCTATCGAGAAATTAATGGTTCGATTTTCCGGCAGCTAATTTCAAGATTTATTGTATGGAACCATTAACGAGCTATTCAAGTGGCCCATGGACCAGCGATGTTTGAGTAAACTGCCTCTTTCCCT